TTTTTTTTTTTTTAACATGATGCTTTCCTAAAAATTCTAGCTCTCCTGTTTTTACCCACTGGCTCAAGCATTATCATAGGAATTACTTGAAGGACAAGAGGATGTCTCTTTTCTAAATTCACTAGCATTTCTGTGTTTTAAATGGGTCAATCTGGAAGTTAACAACTCTGTGGGACAAGTAGGTGGGTATGATCTACTTCCAGCTCCTTTGCTCCCTTTACCTCTGGTGGGTTCTTTGTGCAGCCAAGCCAACAGGGTCATGATTCAGCTTTTGGTGAAAGGAGAGTCCTTTCTGCATCGTTGTACTTGTACAAAATTTGGTGGCTTGTACCACTCAAGGAAGAAACAGAAAAGACTGGAAACAATTTGAGTGCAGAGCTTAAGTATAAAAGCAGATCTATCGGAAAGACAGAAACAACTGAATGATCCAGTATGATCTGGAATGACACATGAACTTATCACGACACAGGAACAAAGTTTAGCTGACCAATGAATGGAAAATGGTGCAGAGCTGGTGCCCGAGATCAGGCATTTAGGTCTACTTACTCTTTGGAAGACATACTTCCTTCTTGGCAGTTTCAAGTTCTTGTTTTGGGAACATTTCAATTTCTCTGAGTGCAATGGAGACATAAATAAATAGGAAGAAAAATCCAGTTGGTTGCTCACTCACCTTTTTGCTTAAGTGGGGGCCGTTAGCCCCCCCAATGCTTCTCTGCACGGATGACGGTAATTGATACACATCTTGTTCCTGGGTACCGTGGCTAGTGGGGACTTGGTAAATCCCCTGATGTTGGTAGGAAGGTGGCACTTGGTAGATTGTGTCTCGAGGGCCGCCATGTGGGTTTGGCGCTTGATAGAGCTTCTGTTGGCCAAAGGTCTGGTGCGTGAGTCCAGAAGTAGGCTGGTCCTGACTGGAGGGGGTCTCCTGAATGGGGCCAATCAGAAGCTTCACCCGGTTGCCGGGGACAATGCCTTGTCGACCATGTAAGGAGCAGAGCCACCACCCTTCCAGTCCTCCTGTGTTCTGTTCTATGACAGTCAGAATATCTCCCTTGCGGAAGGCCAGCTCCTCGGCACACTCCGGGACGTTGTCATATAAGGCCCTTGCCATGAGATTCTAGAAGAAGAGAACAGATGGACATCGTGTTAGAATTCTAGCTCGGTCCTTTTTCACACCTAAATCCCACGCTTTTATGGAGAGGCACACTTCCTGGAAAGGAGAGAAGAATGAACGTGAACAATAGTCTGTAAGGAGAAGAACAGATGGTGCAGACAAAAGACAGATACATACGTACTGCGTCTGCCACCAATGACATCAGACTGCCTCCTCGGAAAAGCCCAGAACACCACAAGAGTTCTTTCCTCTAGCGGTAGCTGCTGTGCCAAGGAATTATGGGCAGCGCCGTTAAAGAGTTCACTACACAAAACATTTTTCTTCCTTTCTTAAAGCCAGCTTGCAGAATAAAATATTCCAAGCGCTACAGCGGACGCTTCTCATTTTTTTCCCTTCCTATATTGGAGGCAGAAAGAGTCAAAGAAAAGCCCAAATAACAAGCAGTACGAGTGGCATTTCTATTTGGTGTGAAAATGGAAACAAACGTACAGTTATATATGCCTTGCCAGCGCTTAAAAATTCTTACTCTCAGTTGATCAAGAAGTCCTTGGATACCGGGAGAATCTACAAGCAAGCGTTTTTGGGGTTTCTTCCCCCCCCCCATGGAAATCGAGCCTGGTGCATGGCGTGACAGTAGTCTCCATCTCTATGTTTGACGGCAGGGAGCGATGGCAGAATTTGCCACATGTAGGTGGATGCCATCCCTTTTCTTTTTTGGTCTTTTATTTGTACCTTTCCTGAAGGCCTCTCCTCACACTGCCACTTTTTCCCCTACTTCTTGAATCTCGCCATTCACAACAGAAACGCTGTGCCTTCCCCTTTCATGGGCCCAAAACACTCTCTCCCTTTGTAAGAAGGCCTGTCTGGCACATTCAGTACTAAGCAGACAGCCAAAGTAGGCATTCAGCAGAGAGCGGGCAGGCAGTACGTGCTGACATTCTTGGAAGCCTTTCAAAGGCTCCGAAGATTTCATTTCTTGGCGTCAGTAATGTTTCGCAGTACTGATGGCAGCCATCGCCACATGCCTGCTCCTTCCCAGCACAGAGAGGAGTCGGGATGCTATAAATTCATTGCGAGCACTTGGAAAACTAGAAGTGATCTCTCTGGTGCTTCCCTAAAGTGTCTGGATGCACTTGAGTCACTGCAGTGGTGATCCTTTGTGGGAGGAGGGACAGCCTATCGGGCGGATCATGTTTGGGACTTTACATATTCGTGGAATTTTTGGCAGTTGTTGTTTGGATTTCTGCCCCCTGTTTGCTTCTCTAGAAACATGGACTTGATCTTTCAGCCTCGTGCTTTTCATTCCTTTAGAACTGACATACATTAATCATCTCCCCCTGTACTATGCCTCATAACCACAGGCTTGTGCTGTATGCTGGTCCTCTCCTCTGGGGGCAGGGGGGCTGCGTTATGTAAGGCACCTCCCCTCTGGTCAGTACCTGGGAAGGGGTCCTACTCTTGCTGTTAATCCTCTTAGTGCAACTATTTAACCTAAGAAAAGGAGATCAAGCCATACCCAGGAAGCTTGATGATGCTTTTTAAGAATAAGGTTGCAGGGGCGCCTGGGTGGCTCAGTTGGCTAAGCGTCCGACTTTGGCTCAGGTCATGATCTCATGGTTTGTGGGTTTGAGCCCCACATTGCGCTTGCTGCTGTCAGCACAGAGCTTCTGTCCCCCTCTCTCTCTGGCCCTCTCCCACTCTCAAAAATAAATAAACATTAAAAAGAAAAAAGAAGAAGGTTGAAGTTCTTGTTCTTGGATCAGTTTTGAGATCCAAGAAGTCTGTGGTGTGGACAGGTGAGTGGTCAGGGAAGCTCAAGGGAAACTGGGGGGGGGGTTGTGTTCTAGGTGAAGGTTTTACTTAGAATTTATACGCTAGGAAACTTTGGGATTTTTTCTAACAATTAGAAGTCCACATACATAGAGATAGAATCATGCAGCATTTTATCCTGGCTTGAGGAACCATTTAAGGATGTGTCATAATCCCCAAATCTCTGTTTCTCTTCTTCCATCTTTGGGTGTTCTGTAACTTAGAAGAAAAGTCATAGAGTTACGGATGATAAGATTCTGGTCCTTTTTGTACCAAAATAATCTGAAGGAGATCACTCCACCAGAGTTATATGGTGATTTTAGGGTAGGGAGAGAGCCGAGCGCTCTCATCTCTGTCCCTTGCTCTGGGGACCATGCAATGATTGGGGATGGCTGGTACGAAAGCCCCAAGATGAAATCAGAAGTGATAGAGGTAGGACCAGTTCTGTGGGAGCTGAGGGTAGATAGCTGTATGATTCTAGCGGCTACAAAGAAGGGAAAGAAGAGAAACAGAAAACTGTCTCTACTGTATTCTGTAGAAAGGCAAAGGACTACAGACCTAATCAGCATAAATAAGCTCAAGGCATGTGGAGCTGGGTCACTGCCATGGGACTCCATGAAGCACTGAAGTGGAGCACTGGACCGTGCTTGATTAGAAGCAGATAGAAATCCCCGTGTGAGAGCCGTTCTGGATGTTCTTTGTCTCTTATCCCAGTGACTTTCCCACCACCTGGTAAGCACCATGCTAATGTTTCAGATGTGTCTCAAGAACAGTTTCTCTGGGGCAACTTTCAGAGACTGTTGTCTTCGCCAACGGAGGCACCATGGGTGAGTTCTCCTGACTCTTTGTCCGTGATTCCCCAGCAGGCCTCCTGCTGCCCACACAGATGAGGATTTAGGAAGAAAGCTTGGCATGACCATTGATGGCATGCACCCCAGTGCTAGCCTGACATCTCACACACAGATATTCTCAGCCTTGGCTGAACAGGAGTGAGTTGCTTAATCTCTATACAAGCTATAGAGAGAGAATCAGTGTCTACACCCAGCACTCTCCCATACAGAAGGTTACATACAGTTCCAGAGACCTTTAGCAATGACCTGAACCCAGTGTCCCTGTTTTATAGATAAAAAAACAGGTCTGGGAGGCCAGTTTATCATTTGCCCAAAGCCACAATATTGGTGTCAGAGATGGGAATGGAACTATGGTCTCTTGGCTCAATTCTCTTTCCAGAACTCTTAAGCCGCCTTAGCTCAACTACACGCTGTCCTCCGAACTGGGCTCAATTCCATCGTATAGTGAGTTCTGAAGATGACAATTCTTGTCATGTCTATAGAATAAATAGATCATTTCCCTTTGTGCCCTAACTTCCTCATCTATAAAATGAGAGTGAGGGTAACACTACCCATCTCACCGGTTTGCTATGAGGATTAAAGAAGTGAACCCAAGTCAAATACCTTAACACCGCTGGAGACTTAGGAAGCCGTTATGACAACTTATTTAATTTGCTGGGTGGCACTTTGGTCTTGGCCTCTCTCCCCACTTGGCCTCCTGTCATCAAGGGTTGAGTTCTGCTCTAATGATGCTATTATATATATATTTATACATAGCCGATCTTTCTCTTGTTCAGTTATATATCAGGAGAACTGTATCTGTCAGTATTTCTCTGAATTAATAATGAATTGTGGACACTTGCAGCCTCTTGTGGAACATTTGCCTGTAAATAGCAATAATGAAACTATTGGTTGCCCTCAAGAGACCGAGACAAAATGTTATTATTATTACTACTACCCTGATTATTATTACTGAATGAATTATGGCTACATCTCTTTAGATTCCAACAGGGTACAATCCATCAGAGAGTGGGGGGGAAATGGGTGAGGAGCTTGGCTTTTGAAAATACTTGGCATTTTGGGGTCAAGAGTTCATTCGAGAAGATAACAGCAAAATGAACGTCATCCAGAACACAAACCATCTCATGCAAAAGTGCACAGAGTTGATGGCAGATCAAGAGTTAATTCCTCTGCCTAGGAGAAGGTGGACAGACCGCCTCCTTCCGTGTGGGAGGTGTGATTCCTTAAGGCCACAAAGTCAGAAGAGTGATTATCTGAATATCTTAGAAAAACCCAGAAGAAGCAGTTTGTCTATTGAAGATCTCCTCTTTCTCCCACCCGCCCCAGGATATTTATCTCCCAGGCAGGAAAGGTCAACACAGAAACAAACCCAGGAGAGATAAGAGAGCTATGTCATTCTATAGCCCGTTGGATGGTTAGCCTCCGCAGGGTGGCAGTTAGAAATGCAGCTAGGGCTTGGCAAAGTGCCAGAGCAGTTGGGGCACTGAAGTTGAAAGCCAGAGGAACTTCAAAAGATTACACTCCAGCTCCTTCACCTTACAAATGAGAGAAATGAGGTTTGAGGAGTTAATGATTTGCCAAGACACCTGGCAAGAAGGTCATAGAGGTGGGGCAAGAATTTAGGTCTCTTGTCTCCAGCTCCAGAATTGGGACAGTATTTAACAAAGTCATATGCGCATGCTACCAAAACTGTGGTTCTCATTAGGATTAGAAATCAGCATTGAGAGTTATAAATCCCATTTGAGGGAACCCTAATTGTAACAGCCTCTAGCACTGACCCCCACCCCAATCCTTCTTGAAACTCTCTTTTGGCTTCCATGCCTTCATGATTTCCATGAACTTCACTTCCTGGTTTCTTCTCCACTGTTGTTCTCATGACCACTCATCTTCCATGTTCTTCACAGGCTAATCATGTTGCAAAGGGATCCCCCCTGTGTTCTTTGCTCTTCTTTACATGCTCGCTCTCTACGGAGAATCTCATCCAGACCAATGGCATCTGAACACACAGATAACAGATCCATAGCTCCAGCCTAGATAGTTCTTCTGCACTCCATTTCCGTATTTCCAACCGGCTAATGGGTATCTTCACCTCTAACGCAACAGGTGCAAAAACCCCTTTCTCCTGCTTTATCTCTCTTAGTTAACAGCACAGACACAGCTGCCCAAGGTAGGAAGAAGCCTCAGAGGTTTGCTGAGTCTCTTCACAATCTGGAACCCAACCAGCTTCTACCCTGCCTTTCGCCTCACTGCCTCTCCTAGTTCAGGCCCCTCAACAGCCTTTTATTGGGAGTACACAACTGCTTCCCAATTGGTTCTCCTCCATTCACCCTCTTCCCCCTCAAAATCCATCCTCCATGTACCCAGAGGAGTTGTCTTTCCAAACCTATCCAGTTGTTTCCCTTTCCAGTTCTCCGTAATAGTATTTCTTACAGTATG